TTTTTTTTTTTTTTTTTTTTGAGACAGAGTCTCACTCTATTGCCCTAGGCTAGAGTACCAAGGCAGCCACCTGGCTCACAGCAACCTCAAACTACCCGGCTCAGGCACCTGCCTTAGCCTCCCTTAACCTCCCAGGTAGCTGGGATTACAGTTACGTGCCGCTAAGCCTGGTTAATTTTTCTTTTTTTATTTCTATTTTTAGTAGAGACAGGGTGTCACTCTTACTCAGGCTGGTCTCAAACTCCTGAGCTCAAGTGATCCTTCCACTTTGTTCTCCCAAAGTGCTAAGATTACAGGCATGAGCCACCACACCCAGCCTGAGTCAGTGATTTTCTAGAATTCAGTTGGAAACGGGAACCTTGGTGGGAGGAATAGCTATTTCATTAAGTTTAGAGATCCCAGCAGATGAAACTTTTTAATATTGAAAAATATTTTTCCTAATATCCAATTGGTACACTTTCCTACTCAGTGGCTGCATTCTGATAACTGCTTTACTGTGAAACTCCTGGTCTTGATAATATAGAATTCCAGTGTTCTCACAGTGATTGATTGAGAACATGATTTGTGTTTCCACAAAAAAAGATATTAGAATCTCTTAAAAATTATGTAAAAGTCATTGCTTCTTGAGTAGACCTCAGACTTTAAGACCTTGTTTTATTCTTGGTTCTGACTCTGAGTGGTCTTGGGAAATTCTTAATCATTATTAATTATGAATTAATTAAGCAAAAGTACTCTCATGTAGATTTTGTATGAGAATTATAAATGAAGCACACAAAGGTCAGCACTCACAAATTATTATTACCCTCAGCCTAAGACTGCAGTAAGCTATATTGGAAGTAGTTTCAAAGTTTGTTTCATGAATCATCAAATTCACCTTATTTGCTAAAGAATTTAAGTAAGGAGATGGAATGAATAGACTGCATTTTGTTTCCACACACAAGGGGACTGTGCATATTTTTTCTGTGACTCGGAAATGGTTTAACTTAAAAAAAAAATCTCAAAATAGCTGAAGTTAGCAGACATGCAATTTAGCAAGGATGATTGGAATTTTGGCCTTTCCTGTAATAATACTATACCTAAGTACACTGCTCATTAGGAAAACATTTTTATCTGACTCTTCAACTCTTGGGGGCAAAGAATACTGCTTTTCTTTTTGATAGCTATGTTTACAGAATCTAAATCACCCTGAGCAATTATTTCAACATTTCAAGTTATCATTACCATCCGTGCTTGACTTACAGCTATTTGAACTTTGATGAATTTCTGAAGTGATAGAACGAGGTCAAATAAGTTTAATGTATGGGTATAACATAAACCAAATGTAACTTTTATTACAACTGGTATGAGAAAACTAGGATACACAATTATTTCTACTGTTTCCAATGGACTTCTACGCTGTTCTTCTTCTGTAGAACAGAGCTCTGAGCTCTAGAAATTTGGAGGCAAGGGATCAAGCCTATGTCTGCATCTGGGTGGGTTTGCTGTATCTCAGGGAAGGAGTCTGCAGCAGAGAAAGTAATAACAGTTTTTTGAATACTTTTATACTGTTGCTTTGAAAGAACTTAGACAGAGTATCTCCGCTTGGCTTTTCTTCAGGAACATGTTTAGGTGGGAAAGGGTTTAAGAAAGCAAGAAATAAATACTGCATCTAAGTTATAATTAAGTCCGTTTTGCAGACTATCCTCAAGTGTTTCAACCTGAGCTTCTATTTTTGGTAACTACAAGATTAAAAATGTTTAACCCCCGCTTATCAATTTGGTAATCATTGTTGATCCCCTGAACTGCTAGAATAAGCCTGGGTGGTAGAAGCTATTCCGATAAGGCATGTTGTAGTTTGGAAGATGCTTTCACACACAAGATAGTAAAGGGCGTGCAGGAATGTCAGCTGACCTGCTCACAGCCAGTTTAGCTTTAGGCGTCTAGTATTATTAAGTCCTGCTGGACTTTGAAGAGTTTTTTCTCATTCTTTTTCTAAATCTTGTAATTGTCTATAAGTACTGCCTTCATAATTAAAATGTTCCTTCTCTAGTCGTGCTTTTAAATGCTTTAAAAATTGTAAAATTATGGCTTGGCGCCTGTAGCTCAGTGAGTAGGATGTTGGCCACATACACCAAAGCTAGTGGGTTTGAACCTAGCCTGGGACAGCTAAACAACAAATGACAACTGCAACCAAAAAGTAGCCGGGCATTGTGGCAAGCGCCTGTTGTCCCAGCTACTTGGGAGGCTGAGGCAAGAGAATCGCTTAAACCCAAGAGTTGGAGGTTGCTGTAAGTTGTGACGCCACTCTACTGAGGGCGGCATAGTGAGACTCTGTCTCAAAAAATAAAATAAAATAAAATAAAAAATAAAAAATTATAAGCCTAGAGCTTCTTTTTTTCCTTTTTTCCCCTTTCTCTCTTTTAACATTTATTTATTTATTTTTTGAGACGGAGTCTCACTCTGTTGCCCAGAGTCCCATGGCATCACACTTTCTCAGCAACTTCAAACTCCTGGGTTCAAGCAATCCTCCTGCCTAAGCCTTCCAAATTAGCCAGGACTATAAGTTCACACCACCACACCTGGCAAATTTTTCTATTTTTAGTAGGTATGAGGTCTCCCTTTGCTCAGGCTGGTTTCCAACTCCTGAGCTCAAGTGATCCTCCTGCCTCAGCCTCTCAGAGTGCTGAGATTACAGGTAGAAGCCACTGTGCCAAGCCACCTAGAGTTCCTTTCTAAGGACCAAACCAACAACGGATGTTTAGGGCAGGTGTCACTCTGATTTACAACCACTATCCTAATCTAACATTAGAACTATTCAACGGATCTGACAGTAATCATAGAAGATACTAATGTCTAATTTTGAATAATTTGTTATGCATAAGAAGAGTGTATTTTCTTTCCTTGTTTAGGCTGCATATGCCAAGATACCAATTGAAAGTAGATCTTAAAGTTAATAAGTCCTATTCTTTTGGTTTAGTATCAAATAAGCTTCTCTTTGGCCACCAGGGCTTAATGAACAAGATATCTCTCTGGCAAAGGATTTTACCAACATGAAATATTAGAGTAGAAATATTTCATAGAAATTAAAATGAAAGATTAATTTCACATTATAGTTATTTTGGAAATGGCATGAAATTTCTACAAACCATTAGAAAAGTGTCTCTAAAGTTTAAATTTAAAATATTCTTGATACTTCATCATGAACATAATTGTGTTTGACTTTTGGGGGCATTAGCATTTATTAATCATTGCACTTCTGCTAGCCAATATGGTACTTTGGAAACAGTAAAATTGTGTCATTGCTCAGTAAATATTTGTTGATTACTTCTCATTTTTTTCCTATCTTGGTTTTTCACTTTCCTAGTTATGACTTTTCACACAAACATAAATTTGGAAAAAATTCAGAAGTCCTATGAAGGTAAACATTTCTATGTTTTCTAAGGCAGAATCCAAAGCATTTAAAAAAATAATTACAATATAATGCTAATTTATTTTAGGTGCCAACAAGTAAAATTTTTCTTTCAAAATGATAAAAACATTGGCTATTGAAGTTTGCTGATTTAAATTTGTTTTTAGATATGCTTAAGAAGATAAAAAGGAACCATCCTTTTTTGGGGGTTTGTGCTACGGTCCGATGAGCGCATAGTGAGGGCAGTACTGTTAACACCTACACGACACGCTCACATCAACTAGAGCTTCGCTTTTATTGGTGCAGTTTTTGGAAAAAAGAAAAATCTCTTTTCCCTGATTAAAAAAAAAATAAAATAAAAAATAAAAAACAAAGATTAAAAAATGCTGAAATTCTGACCCTGATAAAATTAGGAACCAAACTTTGAAAGTTAAAATGACAGGTAAATACCCTTCTTCCCCTGTTGGACTCTTATGAGGAGGATAAAGTCAATTCATAATGCTGGTAATGACAGGCTGTCTCTTGGAAATTCCTAAATCTTTGACCTTTAAAGTGACATCTCCTTTAATTTTCAAATCCAGAGCTTTGAGTGATCATCCCAGTCTTTGTCCAGTATCTCCAAAGATTCTCAGAGTGTGCATATCTCCAGCCGTCTCTGGTTCGATTGTTTGCTTCTGTTTCTCCTTCAGTCTCATTGGAGTCCGAGGTAGCGCTTTGGCTTGTGCTGCACATTGGCACACTTTCCAAGGTACCATGAAGGTAAAGCTATGTATCCACCTTTACTGCAGGTTCCACACTTCAGAAGGAAATTAGAATATAGCGGTATCAGCACTCTCATTAGGCTGTATTTTGAATATAATTATTCCCAGAAGCTAAGGCAAAAATCTTAGACCTTTTGTAGGTACATGCACTTAGCCTTTTTTCTCTACACCAAGGTCTACCCTGCTCTTATGTTTTTTAGGGCCAACCTCGCTTTAAGAATACTCTACTGACTACCTACAGGAATTGTCTTCACTCAGGATTCATTAGACACCCTTAACCACAGGAGTCTGTATTGTAGAGACTGAGTTGCCGTGGATGGGAACGGAGGGTGGAATGTCTGCAGCAAGACAATTTTGGATGGCTGTTGGAGCAAACAAATGCTGTCTGTTGTGGAGAGTTTGGGGTCAGTAGGAAGTAAACATGACCTTTCTTATTCTTTCTGATTCCTTTTATTCCTCTTATTCCTTTTCTGATTCCACTCTGATTCTCTGAGTGTCTTTTGGATGAAATATACAGCCACACAAGACCTCCCATGGTTAAACAATTATTCTCAACGATTAGAGAGTCCCAAGCACATATTAAGGGAAGGAAGTATTTCTGTAAAGCCAATATATCTAGTAAAGAATTTCTCCTATCTGTAATAAATAGCCTTTTACATCTATGCAACATAGTTTCAGGCCTTTCCTCTTATGTTATTCTGATTATCTAGATCATGCCCAGAGACTTATCTCTGCAAAAATAAAGTACAGCCCATAATAGTACTTTTAAAAAAGAATAGACTCATATAGCTCTGATGACTACCTTTAACTATGCAAAGATCCAGCAAAAGATGTGTTGTGTGTGTGTGTAGTCTTGAGTCATATCACAGTCGTAGGCAGGGATTCCCACCCAATTAATTTTCTCAGTAAACAGAAATAGACCAGTAGACTGATGTCTTCTCTCTGTGAGAAAAAGCTCCGGTGTCATGGAATTTTTATTTTTTTAAGTTCAGTTTCATAGGATTGGAATAACTTGGCCTGACTGGTCTATTCCAGGGATGAAAGAGGTTTATGTTAGTTAGAATGTTTCTAGTCTAAGAGCTTACGGATAACAAAGGTTTACCTCAAGGACCTTCTGGTTTTCTTCATGATCCTTAGGAGCATTCTAAACTGATCCCCATGTTTAGAGAAACCCCATCACCTTGTTTCATAGAGAATCTTCTGACTGAGCTGGCTCCAAGGCTTTTCTGCTCCTGTGACCATTTCCAGGTTTTGAGAAAGTACCAGCCTTGTCTCTGTACACACTAAGATTTCATAGCATGTGGGAAGTCTGATGAACACCCAAGACCTTCATTCCATAGCGATTTGTAGGGTTTCTTCGCACTGTGGGAAGGTGTGGAGGGGGGAGAAGGGTTTGCTTGAGATTACTGTGATTTTACAGTGAGATTCTAGACTAATAGCAGGGGTAAACCTAGGAAGACAACTTAGGTCTTTTGTCTCCCAGATGAGCCAGTTTTATAGTCTTTAATTAATTCCCTAAAAAAGAAATTATTTTTAAAGTTTTGTGGTAAACATAAATGAATCTATCCTGGGTGGAATCTTTTTCATGTTGGAAGGCCATATTTTAATTTAGCTGTGATTAAATAAAATTGCATTCAAGAAACTTCAATTAAATATACTTAAAAAGGTACATAATTTTGTAAAAATCTAATACTATGGCTTGGCGCCTGTGGCTCAAGTGGCTAAGGCGCCAGTCACATATACCTAAGGTGGTGGGTTCAAATCTAGCCCGGGCCGCCAAACACCGATGATGGCTGCAACCAAAAAAATAGCCAGGCGTTGTGGCAGGTGCCTGTGGTTCCAGCTGCTTGGGAGGCTGAGGCAGGAGACTCGCTTGAGCCCAGGAGTTGGAGGTTGCTGTGAGCTGTGTTGCCACAGCACTCTACCCAGGGGGACAGCTTGAGGCTCTGTCTTAAAAAAAAAAAATCGAATACTATGTACTTAATAATTAAAAAAATGAAACTACTTGTTAACTATGAAGGTTAACTAACCTCTTAATGACTTTGCTGTGTCTGCTTTTTTTTTGGAAAGCATTTGAATATTTGGTTGCAGCAAGGAGAGTCTGCAATTTCATCTGTTTCTTTAGATGAGTATCAGTAATTTGTGATGTTAAAGGTTTCTTAATTTGGGTTAGGGAGGAGAATGTAGTTTTGCAGCAATACGTGAATGGAAAGCAAAAAAGCATTTATCAGGCATGTTGTAGAAAGTGTAGAATACTGTGGGTATTCTGCAGTTTTCCATATTTCAGGTGGATCTTTCTAAGCATCAAAGAAGGACTTTAAACGAGGCATGGTGGCTCACACCTGTAATCCTAGCACTCTGAGAGGCTGACACAGGAGGATTGCTTGAGCTCAGGAGTTTAAGACAAGCATGAGCAAGAGTGAGACTCCATCTTTACTAAAAGAGAAAAATCAACCAGGTGCAGGGACAGCTACCTGCAGTCCCAGCCACCTGGGAGGTTGAGGCAGGAGAATCACTTGAGCCAGGAGTTTGAGGTTGCAGTGAGCTATGAGAACACCACGGTTCTAGCCTGAGATACAGAGGAGCCCTGTCTAAAAAAAAAAAGAGTTAAAAATATTGTGGTAATCAATTCCGTCCATCTGTAGTTCTTTACATGCCTTAGTGATGTCAATTCGGTGAGGCTAAAATGTTAATTTGACTGTGATGTCATAATCCTCAAAGTCCATGAACCTGCCATTGTGTTTTCCAATTATTAGGTCCATAACGGCTGCATGTTTTTCAAATGATTCCCATGTATCATCCTGCTCCTCAATTACCTTTGCCGACTGGGGAAAACATTCATTCGACATTTCTTTTTGAAGAAGAACTGTTTTGAAAAGAGACAGCTTTTATTTCAAAAGACACTCAAAAAAGATAGCTTTTTCACCAAACTGCTTTCCGCATTACCATATAGAGACTTAGTTTTACCTTGTAAAGAAATATTTAAGTTGTTTTGATTTGACATGATATCACACAGAAATTCTGCATTCCTATAGAAATCTTCTTTCAGTAATTCGCATTGCGGATTTTGTTGTTCATAAAATTTAATTATCTGTTCTTGCAGAGATAAAATTTTGGCTAACACTGGCCCTGCGAAAGCCAACACACTTTAGAATGAGGGGGGCAAATCCACACTGAATACCTCATTGTTCAACGTTAGCATGCTGCATTTTTTTTTTTTTTTTTGAGACA